AACAGCTGTGACTTATGAAACTTCGTATTTGGAACGATTTAATGCCGATGAAACTATCAACAAAAATAGGCTGAATTTTTACCGGTTGATTATTCAAGAAATTCGGGTCATATGATACAAGCAATTCCGTAAATTTACGATAAATCCCGAAAAATTAAAGTTTTTGGCTTCAAAGTTACAACCTTGGAATTTACACATGAGGTTTTTGAAATTTATATCAGAAAAGGAATTAATGTAACCGGCAATTAGCGTTAAGATTAAGTTACTGGTTTATTATTATAATAATTTATCTTGAACAACTTAAAGTCTGTTACACGATCATGATAACGATTAACGTAATATTTTTTTATAGTTCCATCTATTCCGTAATTCGTGTTACATGAATATCAATATAAACGATAATCAAAACGCTAACGATCTCAAATTTTTCATTAACGTTAACATTTACTTGCTTGTTTAATAATTGAACATTATGAATCCCTCGAGAATAAGATTTGCTTTACAGAAGCATGTTCCGCTTATTAAATTTCTTGGTCCAAGGAACAAGCTGCCCAAAGGTATATTTTTTTAACCAATTAATAATTTACTCTATGCTTATCGAATTAGCTAATTCTTTAAATTACAAAATAATCAGTAGACAATACACCAAAACCTCACCCTGCAGCACCTAAAGGCTCGGGCTTACCTTCGACTTCCCAAGAAGCAATAGCAAGTAATAGATCAGTTAACCAAAAACTTGTTATAGAATATTCTGAATTACCTGAAAAATATAAAAGAAAAGGTCTGACGTTCGAAGAAATCGAAACTATTGATGTAAATGTTTTCAATATTATTCTCAATTTTAAATTATAATTAGTCTTAAACTAAAAATATTTCTTTCTTTTTTAGTCTGGTGGTGCATACCTTATAAACAGTTAACCATGAATATTTTTTTGTAAATATATATTAATTAGGCCATACAAATTTAATTACTTGGTTTTCATAACATGAAATTTTAAAAAAGACCCGGCCGGCCGGCTTTTTTTTTAAATTTCATATATAAAATTTTATAAAATTT